ATATTTAATTTTCAAAACACCATCTTAAAACATACGCAACAGAATCATACCACTGCGCTACAGAATTGTCTGCAGAGATCCGAAAGCGTAGTAAAAAGCCTTCAGGTTCACAGCTACATTACGAGAAACAGTCGAACAAGACTGAACACATACGTTGGCATTTAAACAATCTACTGACCTGACTATTCAGGCAAACATGAACAACGGAGGACGGAAATCAAAATGAGCTTGAATAAGACGCCCATTTAAAACTTCAGTTATTCCAGAAATGTATCAGGCCCTCGTTGTCGTGGGTTAAAATCCAAACGCGACCTTCGGTTTTTTTCACAAATGGGTCTGATTAATGACTAAAATCTGTCAACAACACTGATCGAGTGTTGTCAAAATCGGCGTGCCCGGATTGCTTTTAACAGAAATGTGCAGACGGGTTCATTCGAAGCCAGTATTGTCCTATGGAGGGTACATTGCTAGCCAGAGAGTAATCGGAGCAAAAAAAACACAGGTAATGGTGCAGTCAAGCAACAGGACCACTCACGCACCAATGCGCCTAATTTATACAACTATGGAGGACGGTATGCAAAACAGCAAGGAGTGACATCGGGCGCCTTTAGTAACGACAACGCTTTGTCCGGCTGGACGGGGTAAAACCGAGGATAGAAGAGATTTGCCGTCGGTATTCTGCTGCTGCTGCTGCTGCTGCTGCAGCGTGAGGTTAATCTCCGGACACGAGCGATGGTTGATCCTGGCTTACCGGACGTTTTCTGCATGCGACTTGCAATAAAAGTATTCCTCACAGTGGGTTCAATGGATTGCTCCTAGAATACTATTTATCGCTCTCACATCTACAAAATAGGTCTCTACAGAGAATAAACGCCGCTGTGGTCGAAGAAGTGCATTTAAGCTTCAATCAAAAAGCCCGTTGTCCATCTGAAGTTAAACATACTGCAAAGATTAACAGAGATAGAGGAGTATCCGTTTTCGTAATCTCAACTGACGCACAAACTAAAAGTCCTTGTTCTACTTATCTGATTACCGGATCGATAAAACTGCTGCCTCGTGCCAGGTGGATGATTGGATACTTTCTGAGGCATATTTGTATCATGTACAGAAAGACGGGAGAACACATTTTCTAAAAAAGTTGTGGCAGGTCACAGCATCGGTGGCGAATCTATTTGGGTCACCCTGGACGAACGCGCAGACATCAGTGTAGGTGGGTGGTCGCACAGCGATTGCACATAATTTAGCAAAATGCTTTCCAGTCGGCTTGCTGTAGTGAATCTGAATCTGTTTGAAGGGCGCTCTTACACAGTTTGGTATGGGACGCCGAATGGTTGTTGCGAGAGCCGAGAATTTATGTGATGTTGGTTGACCTTCTGTAAAATCGTTGTCCCAAGTTCCCCCGGCAGGACTTCGTCTGGCAGACACGCCAAGAAAGGGCTGCAGCAGCTGCTGCTGCTGCTCATTTTCTCCCCCGTGAATTATATATATGTGTACATATAAGAATAGGATGAAGTTCTTCGGGAACAAAAAAAATTAAATGCGTAATCTTTAGATTGTGGTAGCTCAGCTTGTCTTCAGACAAATTAGAGACGTGCAAAAAACCAGTTCACTGTAAACGATGCCTAATATAAGATTCAGCGGTTGGTCAAAGTATGGGCTACGGGGCATTTTCTGAATTCAATCATCTAGTCGATAGTGGCTTTGTTTGCTTCCACTTGACCTGGAGAAATTTGCAGCAAAATCGATATGTCCATTAATGCATGCTTCGTCTGGGTTCATTGCCTCGAGGAATTTGCGGACCTGCCTTGTTGGGCAGACGCCAACAATACGAATTTTCTCCCATGCAGATATGTAGCCTGTGTCGAGTGTGTGCATAGCGACCTGGTATACGTGGTCTCGTCTCTTCCTTGCAAACTGATGTTCGTGTATAGGCGTGGATACAGATTTACCAGCTTGACGCCAAAAGACTGCATCACAAATGGTACACGGTATTTTGTGCAACATTTCTTGGCTGCTAAAATAGTCATCTCTGCGCTTAAGCTTTATAAGCTGGGTGCGAACAGTAGTTGTAGGTTTGTGCGTCATCCATAGCTGATGTTCTTTTCAGCTGTCTTTCGATGAGCTCAGACACATTCTTTACATAAGGGGGAGGGGAGGAGGTCGGCAGCTATTTGGCTTTGGCACCTGAGGGCCATAGCTCGGGGAATAATTTTTTTAGCTGAAATGTTGTTACCATATGCACCGACGAACAAAATTAGGATGTTCATTTTGGACAAACAGTTTTATAAGGCATTTAACTTCTGTTCGATATATTTTTTCATCGAAACAGTGAGTTTTCATGCGAATTAGTAAGTTGTCAACAGAGCTGCGTTTGTGAGATACGGAGATGGTTTTTCCCTAAATGTAAGATGACCCTGAGTATATGTCTTTGCGGTAAACTGACGTATGTAGCGTTCCATCAGACCTCCTGTGTACGATGACCTTTAAGAATGGGAGTTATAAATCAAATTCCGTTTCGAAGGTAAATTAAGTTCACCGAAAGGTGGAAGTAAGGTTTGTGTGGAATTATTTGAATTGATCTCTGTTGACTACAACAAATGTATTGCCTACGTAGTGCAGCCACAATCCTGGGTTAGCTGTAGAAAGGGCTGTAACTTCTAATTTCTGCATCACAGCCTCCAGCAAAAAGCCAGATATTGGTGACACCATAGAAGCATCGTTTAGTTGTTGATAGTATGTCTTGGAAACGGAGAAGTTTACTTCTCAGCAATGATCAAGGAGTTCAAGGGGACTTAAACAGACAGCAGCAACATCAGTGACCTCGCAAATTTCTGGGTTGGTGGCAAGAGCTAGAAAGGACTACTTTCAGTCAACGCGAACGGGTATTTTGGCGTAGTTACATCGACGGCAAGCTTACCATAGTCAAGAAGGGCATACTAAAGAATCATCACAACTTGAACAGTACAGTCCTCTCGAATATACAATTCATGAGTAGGAAGAAAAGAAGCAACAGCTTATCATCCTTGATGTGCATATCAATAAAAAATCAGAACGGGGAAATTGAGACAGCTGTTTATAGGAAGGCAACAAAACCCACAATTCTTTTCAAGTTCGGGAGCAGGGACCCAGTGGTTTATGGTCAAAACTGTGTTAGAACGCTCTTCAAATGGATCCAGAAGCACATCAGCAATCGGAAGTAAAGAGCACACGAGGGCCGATAGATCCGGGACCAATTTGTTCGGAATGCCTATCCAAAGGTGCTTATAAGCTGATGCCAACATGTTCATCCACGGAGGATCCAAACAGAAACATCACCAAGCACATGGCAGGTGATCGAGTACATTGCTACCGAACCAGGTACTAAAATCGCACACCATCCAGAGGCTACCACACGCAGCCGGGCCATGAAGAGCAAGGACTGACTGACCCCGTGAGCGGTGTGTAGTAGGGTATCATGTTCCCTACCAAAATGTTCCTTGCGATTACACAGGCCAGTCTGAAAGCAAGTGCGGATGGCGCGTGTATGAACACAAGCTGATCGTACGACGGGACGAAGAACTATCATTAGTGGCTGTCCACATTTTCTAAACGGCTCAATTGTTAAATTGCGCAGCCACCGAGGGAAGTGTTTGGGCTGAGAGGAAGACAGGCCAGAAGGTGGATGAATCTTGGGTGTCCGATGAAGAATCAGTCAATCAACACGCGTCTGCATATGTATAGTCCTGCGCAGTCACTTTACACGTGTGACAGTGGTCGCTGATTGACTCAAAGCATACATGTCACAAAAGGAAAAATAACGTCTCGGGTGCTCAAACAGTGTCAACGTCTTCAGAAGGAGCAGCCTCACATTGGAAAATGCATGTCGGAATAGTAGAGAGAAAGTTGGTTAAATTAGACACACTGCAAACTCACGCTCTTAGGTAAAACATAGCAAGTACCAAGTTGTAACAATCATCTAGGCTTTGACTAGGCAGATGGTTACTCAAGAGACTCGAACCATACTTTAAAAAGTGCTCCCTTTGTAGCAGAATGAAGGAGGCTTCCAATTTTACAAGATAGATTTACCCACCGGCAAATAGAAGACTCAGGATAACGGCCAGTTGGTAAAGCGAATGGAAGAGAATATTTTTGACCATCATCCGGCTCACTAGGGGAGTCGTGCGACCGTAGGGCTGACGTTGAAGGAGCTCCGGTGTTGGCAGTTCTGTGGCCAAGGCTAGGGAGGCCAGCGTATCCATGATAAGGTTGACCCATAGCATTTGGACCGCCTTCAAGGGGCTGTCCTATAGAAGGCGAGGGGAACCAATAAAAATTTCTTCGATTAAGTCACAAGAGAAATTATAAATAGGACAAATGCTTTAGCTAGTGCGCGTCTCCAGATATTCTAAACTAAAAGCTCATGTCGCCAAACGCAGTCGTGCACAAAATGCAAGAAAAATGACAACAAGTTTCAAACTGCCCACGTCCTGTGTATCTTAGCCCACAATTCCACAGCACAGAAGGCTTGCCTTTCTCAGGGATAAACTGCTGGGAAAGGTTTTCCGATTCCCCGGAAAGGAAATTGAATGCACAGAACGCTAAGAAATCATCGATTAATGGCCTCATCGGAAGGTAGTTCAAATTGTCTGGTAGATGCCAACATTTTCAATAATATTCTTCAGTATTGATGAAAAGCTAAATAAGCTAAATAAAACCTATAAGAATCTACACCTTCGTAATGGAGGCTAACGCAGACGGGAGAAACGGAAAAGGTTGTCATCAGTAAATACAGGGTTTAGCCGAGCGTATGAGCTCTCAAACTTTGCAAAGAATTTCGGCGTACAAGAGAGAAACGGTTACAGGTGATCCGGAATCAGACGGCGATCACAATATTTAGACTCATTAAACTGACGTATTGAACACCGAAAAACCACAGTCTACAGCGCAGGACATTATGTGCTAACATGGCAAATCGTGAGAATGTAGACTTATCAAGCTTTTTTTCAACAATCCAACAAAATCCCGGAAGACGGTTTTTACATATCCATTAGTAAATGTTATAAGCAGCAAAAAGCCCGGTCGAA